CATAATGTTTATTTAATTTTTTAACAGGAAATTGAATAATGGAACATCTGTTTTTCTCGGTTGAATCGATTATACTAGCGATCGAATATGCGACGATATTACTAGGTAGGAATCAGTATAGGCTAAACGCTGCCTAGTAATAAATTGAACAAGAAGTTGGGCGTTCGTAACCCGGGAAGCACATATATAATTTCGGTGATAGAGGGCACATAGATCGGTTTAGCTAGTAAAGTAATCAGTTAAATGTTTCTATGCTCCTACGCCTACGAGTATAAAAGAAACGTGTTTCTGCATTTGTTATTTTTAGTAGTTCCAAAAACTTTGGCGTACATTCTTTTGCAGTAATAATAAGCACGACCTTCGGATAAACGGTTTGTGGGTTCCAACCCTACTTAGTCCATCATGTTCCTTTAAAATTATTAATTTAAAACCTGTTGGACTTCGTCTGGAAATCGGGATATTAAACTGGTAGGATTCAACTATGGATCACAGATGAGAAAGTCGTCAAGTTTAATCATATTTTGGTTCCGTTCTGTGGATATCTAAATATGCAAAGCCACAATAGGTCAACGGCGTATCTTGTTGAGATGTCATGTAGCTGTGGAACCTTCCATGCAGATAACCCTATAAAAAAACACACTTATTTGTACTAGACAATTAAAGAACATATAATTTTATTGTCTCCATAAAAAGAATAAAGAAATACCAATACCTAAATATAAGTAGTCAACGCGAATGAAGACGGCACTTTTCATTCTCACAAATATACTTCAATACATTTGACCTTGTTCGCTAGACATCATTATAAAGTTGGCTACAAAAAGTAAATTCCATTAAGCGGCTGCATTATTTCATTTAAAGTATCGTAAAAACTTAAGTCCTTGAAAAATCCTTTGTCTGAAGTGAACTTGATATAGTTATGATGTCAGAGGTACTTTGTACGTAATTTTCGTTAGATCTTTCTGCAATAAAACACTAAGAGACACATGTCTTTACAATCGATATTTGCTAGGATTTTTTATGAGTACAGCCGAAGCATGGATTTTACTTGATGGAAGGTAAAACACGCCGTACTTACCCCAACAATGGCAACATTTACAAATTCATTACTTAATAAGGTTTCCCGCTTAAATCACTGTCATTTAAAATATCAAATGGTTGTATAAGCGCTATCTAACAGACGAACAGTAGTGTTTTGAAAATCAGTGTTGTACCATATCCGTGCAACTTATGCTGACGCAAGACTCTTTTGGCATCACATTTATTCAAATTTAATTTAGTCTTTTCGTATTACATATTTTATTGTAATTACATTTATTTCTACTACTATAGAATTTACTAAATGAATTTCAGATAAAGAGATTTATTATTATTGTTGTTATATAAAAAAAAAATATATGTGTTCGTTGGTTCGTGGCCTGGATCGAATTATCGATATTTCCACCTTCCATTTAATATCTAAATTTCCAGATGAAGTTAAACATATTTCAGAGAAATTATAAATGTATTAATATAGTTCGCATTTATTTAATGTTCACTATAGTAATTGTTTTTAGACGGTTAGAAAGTGTTTAAATTTAACTTAAATTACTTAGTCTAGATGTGTATGAATGTTTAAATAAATGCACTATATATTTTCACGTTATACTTTCAGTAGATAGATGTAAAGGTTTATTTTACATATATTTTTAAAGTTACTTATAACCATATCTTGTATAAAGGTTTATTATGCGACACACGTACATATTGTGTTGACAAAAAGCCAAAATCATTGACCTAGTTATGTTAATTTACACATTTGTTCTAAATTTTTCTATTGAATGCGTGAATATGGAACGCAAAGTGTACACGGACATTAGATACAAAAAGACATATATAGCCATATAACATATATAAAAAAACTAACCGAAATTCAAAATGAAATCCCGTTTTCATCTGTGGGGCATGGGGCGTATTTTTTGTGTCCGTTTCACTGATCAATTAAATAAGCAAGGAATGTATCCAAAAATCTGTACTCTACTGGACTGAAAAAAAAATTGCTACCCAAACACGATATGTACATACTTCGGTATAACATATAGCTTCGTTTATGTATAGGGTTTTGTTTACTAAAACTATGGGAATAAACCGTTAGAGTGCATTTTTATATGAAAAGTGCTGCCTTGTCGTTCAATTTCCTTTTCTACGTAGTTGCATAAACTTGAAGCGGAATTCACGACGATGTCTACCGTTATTGTTTTTTATTTCGCCAATTGTTAACAACGGGCCATCGTGTTCCATGCCAGAGCTTGGAATATTTATGTCGAACATTACAAATCCTTTTTGTGCATCTTAGAATTTCATATTTTCAGTTTATAATTTAGCATTAAGCTTCAGAGCAACTTGACTTTATACTTGACGCTGCGACAGCTGAAAAGCACCTGAAAATTATAGTTTTATCATTTATCTATACTAATATATATTGATAAAGAGTTTGTTTGTTTGAACGCGCTAATCTCGACTGCAAAAACGGTTCAAGATACCCAAAAAATATGTATGAAAAAAATGATTCCTCTTTGAATGATCTAAAAAGAAGTCCACGACAATCAATATATATCTATCTTTTAAGATTAACTAGCAAGAACGACGGGCGGGACGCGACCGACTTCGTGGCTAACAGCTTAAATTTATAAAGATGACGCGGTTTGCAAAAACGAATTTGGATGCCCTAATGAATGATTCTTGCGGACGAAGTCGCTGACATAGCTAGTAACGTATAAGTTTACTTTTTCGTTCGTGTACTATTTACATAAAATCTTGACGGGCTCGTTGGTATAATGGTCACATTGTAATATTAAAAAAAACATTTTAACTGTGTAAGACGCGATATATTTTAGTTAAAATTGTTTCAACATTATTTTTAACTACGGCCCGACGTTTCGGATGCTTTGCAGCAGCCGTGGTCACGGGGAGACTAAAGATGGAGGATGTCTCTGACGTCATAGTAAAAAAAACGGCTACGTTGAAGTTGGCTTTTCGCGAAATGTGTTACTACTCGCGTAAACTACAGACAGTATTTACATTGTCATTAAAGTAACTAATAATCAACGGGTCATTCATTTTCTAATCAATTTATAATATTCTCAATAATTTTGGACTTCGTCTGGATATCTGGATATTGAATTGGTGGTAGGAATATGTTAATTTAATTTGGGCCACGAACTACTAACCACAGATGAAAAATCCCGTGAAGTTTAATCGTGTTCCGTTTCAGTCTGTCGATGTCCGAATGTTCAAAGCGAATAGCGGTATCCCACCTACCATCAAGTGTACTCGATGCTAGTGTATTCTCTTATATCATAAAAACTACAGACAATACTTCTAAGACTTGATAGTTGTCCTTTAAGGGTGATCGATAATGATCCTATAAGAAACCCTACAAACTTGTCCATTAGACGTCTAATGCGGTTTCGGTGGTTAGAACTAATTTGATTGATTGCATTACTTCTGTCTTTCCTTATTAGTCGTTAAGTTGACTGTGATTGCTCTGCAGCCCGTTTGATGTAATGGGATTTTCTTTCGTAGCAAGTATTTTTATACACATTACCGACATGTTATGGACTTCTGACAATTTGCAAACTCGAGCACTTTGCATTATTTTGGCCAAATATCAACTTTTATTATCAGCCTCGTTTGTACGACAATTTAAAATTACTTGGAGATATAAAACGCACAGCTAAGTTATTATTTTGCAATGAATTTATTGTCAAAGACGAATAATCTTTCAGATTGAATGAATATCGAAATGAAAAACTTCTCTATGTTTCTTCAATCTGAATGTCATGAATATAATGGTTAAGAAACAAAAACAATCATTTAAATAAAGCACTTTTTTTAATAATTTATTTTAATAGTTTCGACCGCAGCTGCTGTAAAGCATCTGTAACGTCGTCGTAATTACAACAAATTGTAAATAGGCTTCACTTATATATTTCGCGTTTTAAATCTATCTAATCTGTTAAATTCTATTTCCGCTTAGATGGGCATGGGGCGAAAATAATTGTGTGTGTGTGCTTCATGTATTGGTTTTATTTATACAAGTAGATGATCAAACTTAACTACTGGCAACGCTTATAAACAATCGTGCTTTAACAAACGACGATGATAAAGATCTCTTGAATATTAATCCTTGTTATATCAAGATCACTGATTTACGGTTTACCCCATCAATCTTGAAACGAGAGACGAACGATAAATTAGTTTATACAAAACTTCAAGGCGATGGGACGCAGGGGAGATTCATATTGCGATCTCAACTTTTGTGGAACTTAAATAAGATTCGCCATCAACAAATTCCCTCCCATCTTTCATTTGGACTAAAATTATCGACTAATTTATCTTACTAAGTTCACAAGGGCGATTTATTAGCTATGTAATTAATTACAAAAGCATTTTTTTTTCATGTAAACTTTGGAAATTGAAAAATCATAACCGCCTGATTTTTATAACATTACAAATAATTTAACGGTTGGAAATGCGTAATATGTTAGTTAAACTTATTTGAACTACGGCCCGATGTCCTCCTGTGACCACGGCTGCTACAAAGCATGCGAAATGTTGGGCCGTAGTCAACAAAAATAAGAAATAACTTATTATTTAATATATATATTTAGCGTCTTAACCGTTCAAAGTCTTTAATTTACCTTTTTGAGATTTTCCACCCGGCTAGCAAATTTATAATCGTGTTTATATTACATTTTTTATTTATTTAGAAGTTTTAAAATTTAACGTTAGTGGTTTGTTGCTATTGATTTTCCAATGACAGATTGCTTCCAAATGATTAAATATTCAAAATTTCAACAATACTAAACATGTACCTAATATATGTTGACTTGTAAAATGAACACAAAAATATGTCTAAAGCTTTACAGATACGTAGGAGATTTAACTTTTGTGCCGCTACTAGTTTAACACATCGGTTTTAATATATTTTGTTAATAATATTAAATTTTTCTTTTCAGAATGTCGTGCCTGTTTTAGCAGTAATCAAACATACGAATACAGATTGAGAACTGGGAGTACTTTCTACATGGAATGCCGATGCGACGAACCATCTTCCTCCAGAATAAGTTTGGTGTGGTTGGACAATCATGGCAAGAAACTGGTACCTTCGGGGTAACAATAATTTTCTCTTATTTTATCAATATTTGAAAAAAAAAAACCTTTTATTTGTTCCTAAAATATTATTTAACAAACAAATTTTTATAAGCACGTTTTAGTTTTCTTTTATAAACCAGTTGTGAATTTAATTTGTGGTGTCATTAAAATCTGTATGGTATTCTTCGTGTAAGCCAACAAGGATGTACCCCGATTAATGCACATTTAAATTGTAAATTTTTGACAGTTTAAAACGTGAACGTAAACTACTTTACAAAATATTTTAACTACGGCCCGACGCGGACGTTTCAGAAGATTTACAGTAGCCGTGGTCACGGGTAGATGGGGTCTTCTTGTGTTTACTAATACATTCCCAGTTTGAAACTGTTATAAGTATTTTATTTAAATTAATTTATTTTATAACCAACTGATAGATTACTGCAAAAGCGATAGTTAAATTTTTCTTTACATATTTATATCAAGAATAAAAAGTATTATATTTAAAATTTGGTTACAGTTCACGGGCTTTGAGTCCAGTTTCGTTTTATTTTAGTATTTTATAAAACACGGCATAACGCTATATTAAAGTTACCGTACGTTGTTAGCCATCGTCTGACCGTGGGCTTAATTTTATGATTCCAAAATACCTTATGACGTAAAAGTTAACAATAGTCAATAGTTGTTTTATTCTTAAAAAATATTTCCACAAGACCAGGTACAAAATCAAACGTTTACACGCAATGGTGGGACGAAGTACAATACAACCTCTACATAACAAACATCAGTCGATCTACGTCTGGTGTTTACAAATGTGTCACACACAATGGTGGACTGTATTTTCAGGCATTCGATGTCCAAGCATATGGTACGTACCATAATTATTAATTGCTTGTAGTATAATAATAATTAATTTGTCCTTCGCTGATCTCGTGATGTATATTATATGAGATAATATGCCGGTATAGCTATAGTTTGACTATTGAATTCAAAGCTATTCAATGCAAGACGTACAGGGTCATTATCTTATCCAAGTTTAGTAATAAAGACACAGAAATACATTTTGGAATCATTGGGTGTGCTTCGTGGGTGGTTGTGTCAAGATGATATCCTTTTTAACATTACGCTGCTGCTTACTAGACTCTACTGGAGATTAGTATATCTTTCCTGCCTATGACAACGAATTTTTTAATATCTAAATATATGCACTCTATCATGTGCAATAACATAAAGTTTTCTGTCAACAGTTCAATTTTCAACAACTTCTTACAATTGTAAGTTTCGTAACGCGTGACGTTACATGATATACCAACATCATTTCTAGACCACCAGTCTAAGGCTCATCTCAAGGCTCGCCTTGTTCAAACAAATTGTTAAAACAAATCCGTAACACAAAGTAGCAAAAAGCTATATTATCTAATTTGAATTCAATACGATAAAGTTTTGGTATTATAATTGCTGCAGATCTCCCATACTTTGTTAATACGAAAAAAGCTCAGTACGTAATCAATGGTACCGATGCCTTAATAAATTGTGAAGCCAGAGGAGCCGTAGATCCACTTATCAGCTGGTGCAAAGAAAGCTTTGAACCTATAGAGGTAAAAGTTCCTACTATACCTTTTTCAAATTGAATATTTATAACATCATGTAGATTGTTAAAGAATTGGGAATCTGATTTTCCATTAAACAACATTCCCTTCGCTCTAAATGAGTTTCTATAACACTCTTTCGTAACAGAAAAGAGAAATCATCAATTTCAAAGTAAAAATTTTCACCTTTAGCGAAATAAAATTCGAAAAAAAGATTACTATCATTATTAATGTTTTGTAGATTATGGACGATGATAAGTACAGTATATCTGGAGAGGGATTATTGATACGAAATATAAGTAATGAAGACAACGGCATTTATAAGTGCGTAGCATCTGATTTATCAACTGGAGAAGAAGTCGCTATAGATATCAAAGTAGAGGTATGTTGAAGTCAAGAAAATTCTCATTATATATCTGTAAGAATGACCTTCGTAACTTATTACTATATATGAAGATTATTGTTTTAAAAAATTTAATAACAAAGCCTATCTTTATTTATAGGTTGTTACTGTACCAGAAATAGTAGAACTCGTAGCTATTCCAGAAAATGCAGCTTATGAAGGAGCGTCTATATCTATTGAATGTCTAGCTAGTGGAACACCACCACCGGAATACAGTTGGCAAAAGATTACAAATATAGTAAGTTAGATTCTTTAAATTAATAATGCCTAACGGGATCCAATTTTAATGGCTTGTGTGTTTAAGGATTATGGAATTGAAGTAAATTTTAAAGAAGTTCTTAACAAAATAGAATTTGATAACATAACAGCTGATGATAGAGGAATGTATCAATGTATAGCGACAAATAGTGCTGGCAGTGATACAAAGAAAATTGAACTGAAGGTAAGCATATTAAAACTGTTAAGAGTTTTATAAGATGCCTTTATTTATTTGTTTTATTAATCAAATTCAATTTCTCTAGGTTTTAGTTCCACCTAAAATAACGCAATTCAGTGACGTAACAGCTGTAGAGGATGGTACAGTGCAAGTTGTATGTAGAGCGCAAGGAATACCAGTACCCAAAATAAATATACTTTTTCTAGGCGAATCAGATGACTTAAGGTCTCAAAATATATTTTTTTTCTCTTTTAGTCTATTAACTTATTCAAGAAAAAAAATTAAACAAATTTACTTATTTTAGCATAGTTTGGGACAGTAAAGCAATCAGTGAGACTGATAGTGAACTTTACTTATCGTTTCTACGGGTTAAAAAGAGCCATGAGGGTAGTTACATCTGCAATGCTACAAATGAGGGTAGGTTTACATATAATTCCAATTAAAATAAACAAACGATTTCCATTAATAATAGTATTTTTTTAGTGGACTCAGTTACTGCTGAAATGAACCTTACAGTACTTTACAAGCCATATTTCAAAACTCCGGTCGAAAACACATGGGGTTGGAATGGGAATCCAGTTAATTTAACTTGCGATCCGGAAAGTAATCCTCCAGCTAGAATATTTTGGAGGTATGTTTACTATGTTCTTTTATAAAAAAGCATGTTGAAAAACTTTTGTATGCATCTAACCACAAAATAAAAAAAAATTCGCTTACCTCTTTTTAGGTATGAAAGTACAAATATATCTACTGAAAAAGTATTAGAAATCAATAGAATGATAATAGAAAATGGCACTAATGTACCGGTATTATTTAACAATGAAACAATGTATGGCGTTTATGAATGTGTAGCTCAAAACGACTATGGAGAAGCTAAGAAGATAATTGTTTACTTAGAAGGCTTTGCACCTCCAACTATTCGAAATGTAAGATGTTTGGTTTTTATCGATATCAACTAGGACGCTTTTTATTACAATTTATAATGTTCCTTGTTACAGGTAACGCTAATGAATATAACGTCAACATCAGTAGTTTTTGATATCGAAGGACCCGAACAGATAATTGGTCCTCCAGTCGTTGGATTCACTTCAGAATATGATGAAGCCAAAAATTATAATATCACAGATATTCATAACAACCGAACTTGGGCTATAGACAGACCTTACAAGATTAATAAACTTAAACCGAATAGCAGTTATATTATTAGATTTGCCGCTGTCAACGATGTCGGCCCTGGACCATGGAGCGAGTCGCTTGAATTTATGACACTGGAAAGGTACATATTTACGGGTCCTTTTATCAAAGCAAACTGTTCGAATGAGTCTTTTAATAATAAGCTTACAAGTCATTTTAATTTTATTTTTTATCTATTGACTTAAGAAATAGCATCTTTTTATTATAGAAGACGACAGACAAGCATAGGGTACCACTTGATGAAATACCCTAGCCTTATAACATCCATACAATATGCGCTTCCGACGTATTTTGGCTTTGGATATTCGGAAATCCATAGACTAAAACCGAAACATAATTAAGCTTTTTCATCCATGGACGATGTCGGACTCGGACAAAATTTCGATATTCCTACCAGCCATTTAAATTCCAGATTTCCAGACAAAGTAAAGCATGTTTCAGTAAAATTATAAACAACTACTATATATTTACTATTTTAGATCAACACCAGAAGAGCCTGCTTGGGATACAAATTTAGAATATATCAATGACGAAGTCCTTAAATGGAAAGTAGGGGAAGACAACGGTGAACCAATTGATTATTACGTGATACGATATTGCCAGGTAATGATGATACTAAGAACGATCTCAAATCTAAATTTGCCTTATACTGATACTAATTAACTGATATTTTAAGTGTGCATAAATCTAAACGAAAAACTTTTATTATTAGTAAACTATAGGTACGACTCAATGCTTCTGACAATGTCTTTTGTCAATGTAATTAAAAAATGTCCCCCAGATCAAACAATTCTTACGTCAATGATGTTCTTTAAGAATTTAGAAGTTTACGACGGTAGTACATATTTAATAATATTGTAAAGGTTATTAAGTTAAAAGGGATTAAATATGTTTAAATCTTATAGGTGATTGATCTAACCATCCAAAAGGATAAATGTTACGAGGAAATGATGGATCCAACGAATGAATTCTTTCTTAACAATCTAGACCCCAATACTACTTATTATTTCGAATTGGTTGCCCACAATTCTCTTGGAAATTCAACCGTTGCTTCTACGTACATAACATTACCAGGTATATAAAATAATATATTATAAAGAATAGTACTATTAGTAAGTATATAACAATGGTTTATATAAAATAAAAGTCCTAGCATACAAAGTCGTAGGCAAAATCTAGTCTTATACTCAACATGAATACGTTTTTTCACATCCTTTGTTATTTTAAACACAATTCTTCAACAAAGCACAAAGTCCGCTTTGACTTGCCGCGTATATCACTTCCCTTCGGGAAATTGTAGAAAAACGGCGTAAAATTATAATCTTTATTCTCGTTGGCGACGTCTAACTATTTCTAAAAAGCCTGCATGCCATTCTTGGACATTTTTATATACTATCTTGTGACGCACAAATGACCCTTTCTACGTCTAAAGCTGAAACCTTACTGCGTTGTGATAAAAGTTCTCTACTATATTTTAACGATCAGAATTTGAAATATTAGGATAGTCATAAAAACATAGGAGTGTGCGTAACATCCAATTTAAACTACATTTTAAATATCATGTGAAAAATATTGAAAAGAATACAACAAAAAATAAAATCAGACCAAACTCTTCTAACAGATTCTTTGGTCTAATAGTAGTAATGTACAGCTAATACGTCAACGGGTCTTAAGTTCAATGCCCAGTGGGTTTGACATGTTTTTTCTGAAACTTGGACTTCATCTTGAAATTCCGTCTGGATCACGAAGCAATATCGTTTAATTGCGTTTAAGGTTCAGTCTGTGGAATGCTGAATGTTCAAACCCAAAATAGGCCGACAGCGCATCTTTTATACATCAAATAAGGCTGAGCTATTTCAACTTCCATCAATTGAACCCAAAACGTATCTGTCGTTTTGTATCATATCAAACCTTTTTATATATACCTACTAGGTAGAAAAGGTACTACTACTATAAAATAAAATCTATACTACCTAGGTAGTATATATTTTATTTCATATAATTATACAAAATGAACTTTTCAGAGAAGAATCCTGGTACAATTAAACCTGGCGCCATACTAGGAATCGCACTAGTAGTTGTGTTTATATGTCTAGTTCTATTAGACCTAACAATGCTATTTCTTAAGCGGAAAGGCGTCATCGCAAGCTGTGTCTATAAGAAGAAGGATAACAAAGCTGAGGTAACGAATGCAAGGTGAGTTTAAAACTGATTGAACTATTGATAATTGTGTCACATGTATAGACATCAATGCCAAATTTTAATAATAATATACGGAATAACTATAAAATATTATAAAGCTGAAGTTTTTGTTTGTTTGAACTCGTTTGTTTGATCTCAGAAGGCACAGAAACTCTAAGATCATTTTAATGCCCAGAATAACTCTTCTAAGCGAACGAAGTCGCGGCCATTGCTAGTGTTCAGTGTTTTTTAAAAAGATCACATAAAATTCAATAGTGATTATCTCTACTTGTTTTGTTTTTTGTTTAGTTAGAAAGCACTTATCTTTTGTGTACTGGATATATATCATGGACGACATAGTATAGTTCTAATGAGATTTCCTCTTCAACTATCATTAAATAATTACTTAAGTAATCTAATAGGTTATCAATAAGAATTTTGTAAAATGATTTATTTTAGGGATAAAAAAGGCCTTTTACGCGACAGTTCAGAAGGCGAGCCAAGGAGATCAACTAATGGTCACAGGGAGTTTGAGTACAACAAGAGTACGGGCATTATAACGGGAAAACATTCGGCCGTATAATATTTTTTTAGTAGTATATTAAATATAAATAATATATTAAAGTACTAGCGTAAGCCAGATTTTATCTTGTAAATAAATAGTAGTAATAAACTTATTATAGTTTATGAAAAGTATTACGAATGTTTCAGTATCTTTAAAACTATTAATATTATATTCTGAACATATATACATAACAGGGATGTTGACTGATCGAAAATAAAAATAATTTAAATGCAAACGGATAGTTTCTGCTATAGAAATCACAATATTTCTTATTTTTGTCTAGTTTTACTGATATTTGAAACATAATTCAGGTGTTTTCTTTGCGTTGCTGTCACATAGAGATACTCCGCAGCACTTGTAACATAGAGTTCATGTTAATATGCTTGTCCACTTTACTGAATCTTAAGTAGCCACGACGCCATTGGTTAACGGTAATACGATGTTTCCGGGCATTTTGTAAACAAAATTATGTCTTTTTAAAAGTTTAAAAAATATACTTTTAATATTGGTTGTTAAAATTTTATTTAACCCCAAATATTAAAAGTATAGTAAGTAAGTAGTAGTAGTACCAATCAATAATTTATAACACTTTCTCAAAAATCGTCAAAATCCCTACTGTTCTACGTACTGAAAGCCGTTAAGCAAGGTATTAAACACTTTATGTTAATAAGAAAAGTACGCCTCTTATAAAAGTTAATTTATTTCTGTTTATGAATGTATGCTTGATTATAATTTAAATCACGTTGTTTACACCAAAGATTTTGAAATACATATTATGAATATTTAGTTAATAAATTATGTACAAATTGAAGCCGTCTTTTTATTTCTTGAATGATTCAAAAAAATGAAGATATAATCATTTATATATCCAGTTAGATATATAGATAACCTTGAATATTGTACATTGAATATTTTACCATTATACGTCATTAATATAAACGATACATTTTAGATTTAATGGTAATCAAAGCTTAGATACGTCTAAGATTTGATTATAATTTTTTTATTTCATTTAGCCACCGCAATAACTCTGTACATAACAAAATAGAATTGGAAATTTGGAACACTACTAGATTACTGTATCGGCCGGCAAGAGAGGCATTGATGGACGTCTGAATGTGGGCCGAGGCGAATCCGAGGCACCCATAAATGAGTCCATCAATGACTAGTGTGGCCAAGGCTATAGGTAGTACTTTACTCAAATATTGCGCAAAAATTATAACTAAGCAATTCGAATATAAAATTAACCCTTGATAACTTACCTTTTTGGTCGCCATGTTGCGGAGTAGAAGATTGTTGCATATTTGAATCACACTGAAGTTTACGCGAATAGTACACATTTAAATAAAACACTTTAACGGTTTAAAACGCGATATATATTACTTAAACTTGTTTGTCTCCCCGTGACTATGACTGCAAAGCATCAGAAACGTCGGGCCGTAGGTAAAAGAATTTTCAAATAAGTTTAACTAATATATATCGTGTTTTAAACCGTTAAAGATTTTTATTTAGTCCGATTCATACGACGGGTATGGATTTTCATAAAATTATTGCTCGCCCCTGCTCGACCAATTTATTTCAAAGAAGGTTGTCAAAATAAAGCTCCCAAGAATGTTAGAAAAAATATCACTTATTTATCCATTTAGTTTATATAAAATATATCATACGCAACTAAAATTATGCAATTACTTCTCCCATTCCGTAATTAATTCAGGTTTCATATCGCATCTGAGAATCTCATTAGATTTAATTAAAGAACATAAAAGAAACAGTTACTGTTGAGGATGCTGCTGCAGAGGCAGACATCTGAGTGTTCTCACACTTGAGCGGCAATTTACTGAATTTATTGACGCTTTAAAGAGCGCCGACCCGGCAGGTGTCAATAATGGCTACTCGGTGCTGTTATTATCTAGCGATGTCTTGCTTTTGAAGAGACAATATTAAATAAATAGAGATCATTTTGAGAAACAAAGGCGTTATTCTTATTTATTTTTGTATATTACGTCGATTACGTCAGTGGTAACATATTCATACATACAAGTATATGCAATAATATTATAAATCCGAAGAGATTGTTTGTTTATAGGATCTCAAGAACTAGTGGTTCGAATTGAAAAAAACTTTTTGTGTTTGTTAAACCATTTATCGATTCGGTATGACATGGTATGATGACGGTTATAGACATCGGGGAATCTATATAATTTTTTTTTATGTCATAAAAAAAATCCATGACAGTATGTGTCTACCTTATAAGATTAACTTGAAATAACGACGGGACGCGAACGAACGGCGAACGTTCACGTCATTGCTCACGTATCTATAAGAAATTGCAAAATGGTTAGTAAAAACATACTAGTTGCCCAAAATAACTATTCGTTGCGAATAAAGTCGCCGGCAGAGCTAGTATATAATAACGGTAATTGCATTTACACATGTATTATCTGTATTTATTTGAGTGTTGCCCTGGAACACGGCATACCGATAAACTAGAGGATACCGTGAATCAGTTCTGTAATGGATTCTAGTTTTTCAAAAAGTCAACTGGACAGATGGCGCCATCCCCTCTATCTTCAGTCACTCCGAGACAACGGTTGCTGCAAAGTATTCGAATTCGTCGGGCCATAGGTAAAAAATTAAAAATAGGTTAATTAAAAAGGCTGCATTTTAATGCACGTTGACAGCCTCCGTTTGCATCATAGATCGTTTTCAATCTTGATATTTTAAATTTAAATATAACCTAGGCTACGAGAAGAAGATTACTATTACTATTTTACGTACCTATGTTTGTTTTTTATTTGTTAAATATCCTCTGTGCCCCCTCTGTAGCCCTCTGTAGCTAAATGGTTAAACGCGTTAGCATTGCGTTAAGCGCGAGAGGTCTTGGGTTCGAATCCCGGAAAAACAGTAAATTGTTTCGTTCGGGCAGGGCACAGAAGTCTGATCGACTACTTGCCTGCAAATAAAACCGATCAGTGAAACGGACACAGAAATGAGTTCGCCCTATGGCCCACGAGGGGAAAAGGGATTTCACACACACTTTTAAATAAAATCTACATTGCAATTATCTTACAACGCGGATATAATGAAAGACTAAGAATAAAAAACAAACAAACTTTGTTAATTGCCTTAATTAAAAACACATGGATGATATACGACAGTGAGTTGGAATATTGCAGAGAACTAGCTGCCCTGTGCCCAAACGTTTGATTTACGACAACGTTTTAAAATTTTCGCTTCTGGGTGTGTTTTTTATTTTTTTTATTCCTTTAATCATTTTATGGGCTGAATTTTGCAGTTAAACACATACTGACTGACTCATTGGTATAATGATGGCTATGGCTAATAATCAACGGGAGTTCCCAGAATCCCTACTGGCTCCAACGTTTTTCTAATAAATTTATAATCTTTCTGGAACATGTTGGGTGGGTTATAGGAATATTGAACCTGGGCTAACGGACCACTGTCGCATGAAAAGCCGTCAAGCTTAATTGCGTGTCGGTATTAGTCTGTGGATTTCCGAATTTATATTCGGAAATCCACAGACTAAGAGACAGCAAAAAAAAACGACAGCGCGACATAATTTGACATTTAAATTTATGAAACTCGGAGAAAAAATCGATTGTTTTGTATATTTTAAAAACGTACAAAAGCATAACCTTTAATAATAGTTAATTTAGACTTCATTATTAATTAGTTGGACTTTGGAACAACATTAAGTGAACTTTTAAAGTTAGTGTTTCTCTTTTCGTATTCCGGTCGCTAGGTACTAAGAATACCATTCGCGTAAAACGAAAAGAAAAAACATTGAATACTTTGAATACTGCGATCGGAATTATAATTATCGAAACTGGAAACTCGCAAGCACGTCCAACATCGCCATTAGAGAGTTGGCAGAGGAACTGTTGAACTAATGTTCAGTACGTGATCTAGCCTATGTCAGGCTGGCTTACGACACCTATAGGAAATAATGTTGAATTTCGATTCCCCACGCTTCAGTTCACATCGTTAAAGTTTGGAATATTAATCGTTAGGTTACGGATGAGTGGCTTGAAAGCTGATGAAACAAATCCATGTTTTATATTTAATACTGCCTTCTAGGCCTTGTGATTAGAGGTGAATTTTCAATCTCGGGTAGAGCACAATATCTATACTAATATATATAGCTGAAGAGTTTGTTCGTATGTTTGAACGCGCTATTCCCTGGAACTACTGGTTCAAATTGGAAAATTATTTTTGTGTTGCCTTAGTTAGAACATTTATTGAGGAAGGCTATAAAACATCGCGCTGCGACTAATAGGAGCGTAGAAATAGGGGGATATCTCAAAAAAAAAACGGGGAAAATTATTTATCCTTGTGGGTTTCCATTCGACATCGTGGGTAATAGCTTAAATTTATAGAGATGAACAGGAGGTGAAAAAAAAAAACAAAAATTGATACCCATAATAACTATTCTACGCGTACTAAGTCGCTGACTCAGCAAATCTTTTATAAGAAAGTTTCTACGAAGTAGGTCGTACCATGTCCATCCCTCGGGTAGTGAGGCACCATGAGGTACATCTTAAAACCTACCTACAGTGGAGACCTATGCATATCTATGGGATATTAGTATTGGCTATTATCTAAGCGAATAGTACAAATTTAAATAAAAAACTTTATTTACAATTTATTTTGACTAGGTCACGTTGCGGAAGCTTTGTAGCAGTCATTGTCACGGAGGGATTATTATATATTAATGTCGGCATAATAATCATATTAACTGAACTGCTCTTTATATAAATTCAATCTCTTATAGACATTGTATTGACTACTATGTAAAACATTAGATAAGTAAAAATATACTGTGTCGTTGTATAAATGTTGAAAGAAAATTTAGATTTCTATTATTATAACTTAAATTTCATTGTTTTCTTTAATAAACTAGACTTCATTTGATGTGTCCAAGTGGCGCCATCTGTTGTCAGTTTTTGTTACCTTGTAGTGAAATAAAGTTTTATTTATAAAATAAATGAGATAAATCA